TTTTTCATCTATCAATTGACGTATTGTATAATTTTGTGTTCTGAACAGATAACTGTCAATTTCACTCAGAGTAGCAACATCATTCCCATGAGAAAGTTAACGACTAGCTTGGATGAATTTATAACAGCTCCTGTCACATAGTTAGAAAGCCAGGAAACTTTTGAGAGGTAAGTGAGCATAATGTGAGCTGCACATTCCCCGAGTGATTTACAATTTATAATGGCATGGATAGTAGTTAGACAGGGTTCAAAGGGCAATAAAACAATAAAATTTAATTATAAATAGTTGTATAATGTTACGAACTTAGAGCTACTTAGGATAAACAAACGTATTCACGTTAGAATTTGAAGTCATTCTAGAAAGAAAAAAAAAAAGGTAAATTTAGGTTTATTTCGATTTTTTTTTCTGGGTTAAGAGGTCGGTCAAATTGACCAATCCTGTTTTGAGATAGGGAACAGAAAATAATAACAGATAGACTATAAAGTTTTACTGGAAGAAAAAACATACACATGTTTAAAATGCATTTAGGAGGTTTAAGGGATTACACAATAGAAATTTGAGAATTTTGAGATGAGGAAAAGTATTTTCAATTTTAACATGAAAACTACTTTGCACACAAGACTATTCAAAACAAACACTCAATATATTCATGGACAAATACTTCACTCAGAAATACGTTTTTTTTTGAACTTTTGCTACAGTTAGTGTTAGGGTAAAGAAAACAACAGATAGTCTTTCCTAAAAAAACAAAATAAAAACTTTTGTTCAAAAATCTGAGTTTTTATATACAATAGACTTATTATGCTTACTAGAAGCTTCCCAAATTTTATGAAGACATTCTTCATGCATTCAGAGTTATGTTCCTTATTTGTTCTGTCTTTACTATTATTTAATATTCTTACCTTTTGATGTGTTAATAAAATATGGAGAGATGTAACCTCTGTCAAACTTCATGCCTTCAATAACTTCTAGTTCATCATGAAGTGTTTTTCCATCCTGGAAAGGAAAAAGATAGACATTTCATATAGTCAAACAAGGAAATTAATAAATGGGAAGAGATATGAATTGCTTTAACATTTTCCAGTCTTTTGGTAACAGCATACATGCTAAATGATCAGTTACTAAAAGATTGCACAAAATAGCAACAGAGACTATATTATTTCTCCAAACATAAATTTTTGAATAAAACTGTTATGATTGTGTTTTAGATCTTTAATACAGTCACAGGAATAGTTTTTAACAGTTAAATTAAAAGTTGACGACTAACCATTTCACTGTGAAATAATATCCAAACCAACACACAATTGATTTATACATTCTGATGCAGCAAAAAGCCACACCGACAAGACAAATAGTATTATTGCTTCTTATATATATATATAAGGACAACAAGGTACATCTAGGTTGTTCCATCCACCATATTAAACTCTAAAATAACACACTCAAAACCAGTTCTTATAATTCAAATAGTTATCAAGCTTTCATTTAAACTCCCTTAAGTTAACTGCATCAACTACATCTGAAGGCAACCCATTGCAAAGACTAACCACCCTCTTAGAAAAATAAAGCTGTCTTAGCTGAGGATAACTGTTACCCTGCCAAAATTTATATTTGTGACCCCTAGTCTTACCATTCTCTACACTAAGTATGAAAAAAGATTAGGTATCACAGTCCTTTGTATTTGAAAATAGTACGGTGAGTGATTTTTATCATTCAATGAAAATATATTTTTTTCAGGTCCATGTATCATAATGTAGTGAATAAAACAAATAGCATACTAAAAAAAATAAAAAATCTTCATTTATTTAACTTTTTTTCAAAAATCAGTGTATAGATGTGTTATCTATGTAAAAGTTACACAGTATTTAGTAATTCCTCAAATGCTCTTGATTATCAACATTTGACATAAATGGTTCTAACTGAATTTATTTTTCTAAGTGAATAAAAATATTAGCAGATAATCAAAAATGTTGAATGAGAGTGCCATAGGATAGGTTACTCCATCACCAAAGGCAGCACATTCATGAAATTTAGGGAGAGGTTGCACACTTGCCCTATTTAATATAAGCTAAAAAATTATTATGAATTTTATTAGTATAACACTCAAACCTGAAAAACACTGTTTGACATGAAATTAACAGTTAATAACTGTCATTTTGAGCATCAGAAAAAATAGCCAAAATCAGGTGTGAAATTAGGGTAAAGTTATTAATGACACAAAAATTTTGTCAAGGAAGACCTTGGACTAAATAATTAAATGAAGAGTAAAACTAATGCATGATTTAAATCTGGTCAATTCGGACACTATTCACATTCATTTACAAATATCAACCCGGTTTCGATGTGCTTTTACACGGCTTAAAATTCACTTTTAACACGTGCATAAATTATGATAATTTGTAACCGGCTAGTACAATAAACGCATCAGCAATACGATATTGGTTGTAAAAATATTTACCTTCACAATCAACTCTATTACACGTTCTTTTTTTTTGTCTCCTAGCCGACAGTATCCAGCAATTCCCACTTTACAAACGTGGACAAACATACACTTGTAACAGTTATCACCATTGTTTTACATGAACAGCAACTCATAAAAGTAGACTGTAGTCCCCAGTTTGGATTAATGCACGCTCAATAACAACGACCGTGTCATGGATCATCAGAGCAGCAGTCATAAACAGCTGTATTAGTCGCAATAGGAAAATACCTCTCGTCACATGCGCTCAATAAGTAAAGTTGTGCACATGGTTTTAAAAAATTTTTTATGCAACCAATAATGACAAATTTACGTGAGCAACTAACAACGCACCTAAAGCAAAATTTACATGCATTATTGTGCACAAAAACAATCACACACCTCAAATCTGAAGGACTGTATCAACGCTAGCAACTCCCTTTACAATCTTTAACACTTTAGTTTGATCCCCTCTTCTTTTTCCAAGAGAAAACAGCTTCAGAGGTCTTAACTTATCCTTATACGACATTTATGACTGAATGGGAAAGTTGTTAATAAAAATTCTTCACAAGGCATGTTTGAGAGCAGCTCAGGCAATACACTATTCAATATGATAACATGAGCTACAAGTTCAAGTGGTTTACAACTTGTGTGGCAAATTATTAGTTAGACATGGTTCAAAGACTAATAAAGCAATAAAAGCCAGCCCTTATCATTCATGTA